CCACCCCCAGTCAGGACTCAGCCTGACCCATGCCTGCTTACCCCGATCCCCAACAGAAAGAATGGTAAACATTTGTGTTAGGGTTCTATATGGTTAGAATGTTTCCCATCTCTTGGTATATACCTAGGAGTGGGACTGCTGGGTCAAGTGGTAACTTTATGTGGAATTTCTTGAGGAACTACTGGACCATTTTCCAAAGTGGCTGCACCATTGTACATTACCACCCGCAGTGTACAAGGGCTCCAATTTCTCCATGTTCTTAACACTGTTATTATCTGTCTTTCTGATTATAGCAATTTTAGTGGGTGCGGAATAGTATCTCATTGTGGTTTTGTTTTGCATTTCTCTGATAAACACTGTTCATCTTTTCATGTGTATTGGCCTTTGTATATCTTCTTTGAAAAATGTCTATTCAGGGGCGCCTGGGTGGCTCAGTGAGTTATCCCTCTGCCTTCAGCTCAAGTCATGATCTCAGGGTCCTGGGACTGAGCCCCGCATCAGGCTCTCTGCTCAGCAGGGAACTTGCTTCCCCCCTCTCTCTGCCTGCTCTCTGCTTACTTGTGATCTCTCTCTCTCTCTGTCAAATAAATAAATAAAATCTTAAAAAAAGAAAAGAAAAATGTCTACTCAGATCCTTTGCCCATTTTTTAATTGGTGGAGGCTTTTTTTCCTTCCTGACACGATACGTTGTGTTTTTTCCAACCTCACCCAACTTTCCAACACCAATCGGATGTCCAGTCATTCGGTCTTCCTCTAATACTACCTGGACTTAGCAACAGGCTCCACAAGTTTAAGAGCTCAGCACCATGAGGCTGCCCCTACTTCAGAAGCCAGCTACAAGTATTGCATCCTTATTACCTACCTTCTGTCCACCTTGCCTAAGAGACAGGGGTTCCCACCCATCCCAGGTTCAATAATTTACTAGGACAACTCATAAAGCTCAGTAAAATCCCAACAAGTCTTGAGCATGGGAGCCTCTGACCTCATGGAATTGGGCTGCACCATCCTCCTGACGGGTGGATGTTTTCACCTTCTCAGAGGCTCTTGTATCCTGTTATTTAGGGGTTCTGATGGAGGTTTTATTATGGAGGCATGACTGTGCCACTGATGATCTCAATCTCCGGCCCCTCTCCTCTCCCTGGAGGTGGGGGGTGGGGTTGAAAGTTCCAAGTTTTTAATCAAGACTTGGTCTTTCTGGGAACCAGTCCCTGTCCTGAAGCTACCTAGAGGTGGACAAAGAGTCAACCCATTAGAAAAAAAGACATTCCTATCACCCTTGTCACTCAGGAAATTCCATGAGTTTTAAGAGCTCTGTGCCAGGAACAAAGAACAAGGACGAAGTATCTTTCTTCTTATACCACAGTTATTTGTCTTTTTGTTATTCAGTTCTAAGAGTTCTCTATATAGTTTAGATACTAGTCCCCTATCAGATACACAATTTGTAAAACTTCTCTCCTGTTCAATAGGTTGTCTTTTAACTTTCTTGTTGGTATCTTTAGCACAAAACTTTTAATTTTGATGAAGTCTAATTTACCTATTTTTTGTCTTAGTGTCCGAGGTGACAAATATTTATCTCTATTTTTTCCTAAGAATTTTATAGTTTTAGCTCTTATGTTTAGGTCTGGGACTCATTTGGGGTTAATCTAATGTGAGGGTATCTAATGTGAGGCAGATATACAACTTCAGATTTTCTGCATGTGGATATCCGTTGTCCCAGTAGCATTTGTTAAAAACCCTCTTCTGGGAGTGCTCCTCTACTTACCAGATGGGATGCTGTGTGATTCGTGAATCGCTTAATAAAAACAATTAGATCTGCAAAACAAACATACATACACATGGCATGCGCATGCACGCGCACACACACACACACACACACACACACACAAACTATCTTTCCCCCATGGATTGTCCTGATGCCCTTGTCAAAAATCAGTTGACTGCAAATGTGAGGTTTATTTACGGACTCTTTTTTTTTTAAAGATTTTATTTATTTATTTGACAGACAGAGATCACAAGTAGGCAGAGAGGCAGGCAGAGAGAGAGAGAGAGAGGAGGAAGCAGGCTCCCTGCTGAGCAGAGAGCCCGACGCAGGGCTCGATCGCAGGACCCTGAGATCATGACCCGAGCGGAAGTCGGAGGCTTTAACCCACTGAGCCACCCAGGCGCCCCTATGGACTCTGACTTCTATTCCATTGATCTAATGCCTGTCTTTATGCCGCTACCACATTCTTAATCACTATTTTGGTAGGGTCTGTTTTTTTTTTTTTTTTAGTAAATTTTGAAATTGTGAAGTCCTCCAAAGTTCCTCTATTTCAAGATATTTTTGGTGTTCTAGGCCTCTTGAGTTTCCATATGAATTTTAGGATCAGTTTGTTGATTTCTGCAAAGAACCCGCTGGAATTCTGCCAGAGATTGCATTGAATCTGCAGATCAACTGGGGGAATATTACCATTGTAATAATGTTAAGTTTTTTGATCCATGAACATAAGATGTCTTTCCATTTATTTGGAATTTTAAAATTCAACAATATTTTGTAGTTTTAAGACTATAAGTTTTACATTTCTGGGGCAACTGGGTGGCAGAGTGAGTTGAGAGTCCAACTCTTGGTTTCGGCTCAGGTCATGGTCTTGAGGTTGTGGGATCAAGCCCCACATGGGGCTCCACACTCAGTGCAGAGTCAGCTTGGGATTCTCTCTCCCTCTCCCTCTGCCCTTCCCAAGATCAATACATGTTTTACACTTCTGTTGTCAAAGTTATTCATTTCACTCCTTTTGGTGTTATTATAAATGAAATTGTTTTCTTAATTTTATTTCCAGATTGTGCATTGCAAATGTATAGAACTACAATTGTTTTTTTTTAAATATTAATCTCGTATTCTGCAAGCCTATTGAATTTGTTATCAGTTCTAATAATTCTTCTTATAAAAAGATTTATTTATTTGAAAGGGGTGCAAGGGGGAGAGGAAGAGGTAGAGGAAGTCTTAAGCAGACTCCACACTAAGTGTGGAACCTGACATGGGGCTCAATCTCACAGAGATCAAGACCTCAGCCGACACTGAGGCAGGTGCTTAACCAATAGTACCATCAGGAACCCCTCTAATAATTATTTTTTTAAAACACTATACTAAAATTACAGAAATTAGGAAATTTCCCTTAACCCACCCCATTCCAAAAGTTCAGAAAATTTTACATAAAGAAAAAAATAAGGAACACAAAGTATCAATGTAAAAATTGCACCCAAGTGTCTATTAAAAAAAAAGAGAGAGAATAAGAAGCAGAATAACATCTATACAGACAGTAAGTGAAACTGCACCAACTATTCCAAGTAAACAACAACAAAAAAAGACATTACAAAAGCCATAATTAGAAAAACTCAGAAGTGAGACAATAGCACTTAGGACAGATTTAGAAATAAAAGAAACAATCATTTCAGGTATGAAGACAAATGAGAAAAAAATACAAGAGCAAATCACATGATGCTAATGAGAAATAAAATGTGAAAAGTAGATTTTTTTTAAATCAAAAGAGGGGCGCCTGGGTGGCTCAGTGGGTTAAACCTCTGCCTTCAGCTCAGGTCATGATCTCAGGATCCTGGGATTGAGCCCCGCATCAGGCTCTCTGCTCAGCGGGGAGCCTGCTTCCCCCTCTCTCTCTGCCTGCCTCTCTGCCTACTTGTGATCTCTGTCTGTCAAATAAATAAGCAAAATCTTTTAAAAAATCAAAAAAGAAAAGCACACATAAAGGAGTTCAAGAGAAAATATAGGAAATAGTCAAAGGAGTGTGTGGAAATGACACTCATAATAAGGGAACAGAACAAATACTAGAAACAAAAATTCAATAAAACTTCCCTGAAATTAAAAAAAGGAGGGGAGTGGGAGGGGAGAGATTTGATACTACATTGCGTTAGTCAGGATTCATGAAGGAGAAAGAAACTACAAAGGAATTTGAACAGGAAAGTTTCATATCAAGTATTATTAACTACAACGGAGGTTGGAATAATGGAGAAATGGCCAGTAAAGAGTAAAAGGAACTTTAAAGAATACAAAAGTAGCAGATGAAGTGAAAAGTCTCTACACCCAGGTCTGAGGTAGAAGAAGCAAGAAAAGGTCCTCCTGACTCAGGACTGATGCCCAGACCTTGGAAGGGGGACACAGTTGTGACTCACTGGATCCTGGAGAAGTTTGCTGAAGCTGAAACCACCCAAGGGAATGCCAAGGGAAGCTCCCCATGGGTACTGGTGAGCTCCCTGTACTGGTGACCACCAGGCTCTGCTGGAGCTAAGAGCTCCACGCACGGCAGGCACCCCATCAGCCTGGTGCAGGAGGCACACTCGAGACAGGAAGAGAAACCCCTTCTGCCTCCAGCGCCCCTCCGAGGTCCAGCTCCATTTCGGCAGAGCCGACCGTGAAGATGGTCTTGGAAGCTGAGAATCAATAGATGAATAACTAGGACACATTTATTAAAAAAGAAGACAACATGCTTGAGAAAACTGACTCAGAATGAGCAACACCAAGGCATATTTTAGTAAATTTACTGGCTATTAAGGGAGGGGGAATCCTTTAATCATTGAAGTGACAAAGAACAAGTGACTTACAAGGGAAGGAAAATTAGATTATCATCAGACTTTTCAACAGCACTTCTTTGTATCAGAAAAATAAATGGTGTGAGCTATCTCGGGCAAAAGTGTGAGCCCAGGATTTTATATTCAAGGAAACAGACTTTTCAATTATAAAAGGTACAAACTGTTATCAGTGTATAAGAACGCAGGAATATTGTTCCCATGAGCACTTCCTGAAGAATTTACTAGAGAACAAGACTCAGACTGCCCAAATTACTAGCTACGTCAGCATGAGAACAGAGAGCAGTAAATACACAGTTACTGGTAGAACCAATACTATATGATGTTTAAAAGGCAGAGAATATGGTATATGAAGGCCGTAAGCTCTATTGATGTAGATATAGAACAGCTATGAACATTGGGGTGCAAACTGCTTTTTTTTTTAAAGTATGGAATACTTCATGAATTTGTGTGTCACCCTTGTGTAGGGGCTGTGCTAATCTTCTCAGTATCATTCCAATTTTAGTCATGTCCTGCCAGAGCGAGCACGGGAACTTTTAAACTCATCTCAGTAATCATTCTCATGGTAGCAACATTAGCACTGACATTCCCTGTTGTGTGTGTAATGTTGCCTAAAACAAATGAGTAATTTTGAGCTATTTTAGCTATCGTCCCCTGTGTCCTAAAAATTAGGATTCTCAGTGTGGAAGAAAGAAGAGACAGCTGTAATTTTTTAAAAGATTAAATAAAAAAATCTACAGTCCTGAAATTTAATTGGAAAAACAGTATGAACTTGTGAGGTATTTAATCTATCATTCTATCTGTATCGAATAGCTCCGTCCATTGAAAAGGCCTGGAAACAAGGACCAATTCGTAGCAGTGAGCATCCTTGGAGTCCACACTGTGGTCACAAGATGCCATTTCCCACTAAAGGTCAGGGCTGCACAGAGAAATGACTGAGAGGTCAGGGGAGAAAATGTACAAAAGGCATCTGGGCCGTCCTGACATACATGACAGCACACGAGCCATCGTGGATGGGTTATCTGTGTACTAGGGTAGTGTCAAAAAAACACAGAAGCCAACCCAGAGGGGTTCCCACTGGCCAAAGACAGAACAATTTGAGCTTTGAACATAGTAATAATTGCAACAGATTAAAACTCATCAAATTTCTTTAAATCCGTGAGTTCATGAGGATATTGAAAAAATGAACTGGTCACCTGCAGAGGATAATAAGGAAGCAGGTTATTATTCTGCAAACTGATAAATATAGGGAATAAAGAAAGCATTTATCCAGCCTCTTCTACATGAGCTATACCACTGGGTAACCTCATGGTAGATGAGAGGAAGCATCTGTTTATAAAGAAATCCAGCAAATAAATGAAAAAAGAAATGATGGAATTAAAACATCATCATTTGGTAGTGGTGGCAGCTGTGGTTCTTTTCATTACCTCGTGTAGAACACTGGAACGATCGAATGATCGCATCAACGACGCCATCATCTGTTTAACACTCTCAGGACATTTTCTCAAAGCCTATTTACTTATAAATTGTGTGGAATGACAAAATTAATAAGCAATAAAATGTGAGTCATAGCACAATGAAAACAATGTATGTCACCATCTTGGACCCCCAGTGAATTAATGAGTCTAGGGACTGAGCAACCACAGCTACAAACACCACAAAGGGAGAGGCAGCCTGACATTATGTGGCCCCTGATGAAGGAACACATCACACCCAGAGTCTTGCCAGAGAGACAGAAGCCAAGGCAGATCAAGTTTCGAAATCCAGCTGACAAGGAGCAGCAAATACAAAGGGCAGCAGAGCATACGGAACTGTCCCATGAGCAGGTATAAAACAACAGGCCAAGGGCCTGGATTCTTCAACAGAAAAAATAAAAAGAAAGGAAAGGGAGGAGAGGAGACTCTGAAGATTAAAGAGAGGTAAATATATATTTTTAAAAGTGGGCAAGACTGGGGTGCGTGGCTGGCACAGTGGTCGGGTAAGCGTCTAACTCTCGGTTTTAGCTCAGGGCCATGAGATGGAGCCGTGTGTCGGGCTCTGCACTCAGCGTGGACTCTGCTTGAGATTCTCTCTCCCTCTCCCTCTGCCTCTCCTGCTCATGTTCTCATGTTCTCTCCCTCAAATAAATAAATTTTAAGAAAAAAAAAAAAAGTGGGCAAGACTGAGACATAGTTTCTAGAGATGCGCACCTGGTTGCTGAAACTATAAAGGAATGCAAGGAAGTGATTACTGTAAAAACCAGGTAGTGGTTACTCTTGGTGGGAGGGATGGGGGGGAACATGGAGGTGTTGCTGGGGTGGCTGCAACATTCCACTTTTTGGGGTACAAGAGCATTTGGGGTGTTTGCCTTATAATACTCTATTAAGCTCTACCTTTCTTTTGTGTGTCTTTCTATATCTCTATTTCAAAAGAGTTTAAGTAAAAAGATTTTTTAAGTAAAAAGATTATTTAAAAAGGACTGTTGGGGTGCTTGGGTAGTACAGTTAAGTGACTCGCTCTTGGTTTTGGCTGGGGTCATGATCTCAGAATCACGAGATCGAGTAATGCGACGGATGCACACTGAACAGAGTCTGCTTAAGGCTCTCTCTCCCTCTTCCTCTGTCCCTCCCACCTGTACTCTCTCTCCCTTCCAAATAAATAAATAAATCTTTAAAAAAAATAAATAAAAAGGAATGTTAAAAAGAATTTATGTATGTATCACGTAACACCATGGTACAAACAGCACACTTTGGGAAATGTTGAGCTCTTCCATAAGCCTGGATATGAGAGGCACTAGAAGCCACCTAGCCCCAAGAAAGTCTCTCTCTAAAGACATCCGTGCCCATTTGGGCTGGGTGGACTTCATGGTGGGAGTAGGGAAGAGGACAGCAGGAAAGCGGGGCCTGTACCAGACAGCCTGAGGACACACGGGGCAGCCAGTGAATGCAGTGTGGATGTCAGCAATGTCACGCACACACAAAATGCAGGTAAAGCCATGGCATCTGAATAAGGCCTGGATTGTACCCATGTCCACTCCTGGTTTAGATATTATGCTAAAGTTATGGGAGATGTTAGCAAAGGGGGGGACTGGGTGAAAGGTACAGAGGGTCGCTACTATTTTTGCAACTATTTGTACAGTGGGATCTATAATTATCTCAAAATTAATTTTTTTAAAAAGAAGATATGTAAGTGCACTGATAGGTCTTCATTTCTCCCTGAGGCTCATCTAGCTCCCGGGGTTTAGGAGGCTGGGGCAGCATTCACGAGTCCCCTGCCCTCACAGTTCCACATTCAGCAACATCCCCAGGCCCTCCCTATGAAGCTGCTTCAATTTCCCAGTGAGAACAGGACAGCCCAAAGAGAGATGCTGGCATATATGCAAGTGTGTTCACCTCCCTTTCTGGAGGATAGGGAGAGCATGTGCACACACATGCACACACACACACAACCTTACTCTGGAACTCACAGTGCCACAATGACAGCTCTTCTTTAAAGGCTCCTGGATGTCTCCTACTGGACAGAATTCATTTATCACTCTGGGACCTACAGTCTTGGTCTTTCAAAAGTTTCTTGTTCCAAACCTACCCATTTCAGATGAGTAACTCAAATTGGATAAGAAACTAACCATTTTGACTGTTCTAAGTTCCCCCGGAGTCCACTGTTGCCAACACCCCAGGACCCAAGCTCTGCCTTTGTCCAAAATGACACTGTTGAGGTTCAGGGTCCAGCTCCATTTCCTCAGCACCCTGAGGCACTGCTGCCCTCTGCTGGTGACTTCTAGGTAGTACTCAGAAATCCTTCTTAAAAATCAATGGTCCCAGTGGGGAAATGAGTCAGAGACAAGAACAAGTAAGTCACAAAAGAAATGCAAGGGATAATCAGCATGTGAGAAATATTTAACCTCATGGTAATTAAAGAAACGCAAACTATAACATCAAAGAGATACTACCCTCCCCCACATCCCCAGAGTGAGATTGGCTATAATGGAAAACAGCAGCAACATCTAGTGCAGTCCAGGGCTTGTCCCACAACCAAGCAAACACAGAAAGTGCTCAACCCTAGCAGGGTACCCTCTGGAGCCCACTAGGGGTTGGGAACCCAGGCACCCTATGGTGAAGCCCTGGCTTACATAGCCAGGAAGAGTGTAAGTCAGCAGACCCTTCTGGGACATCTGGGTGGCTCAGTTGGTTAAGCATCTGCCTTCAGCTCAGATCCTGATCTTAAGGATTGAGCCCCACATAATGCTCCCTGGTCAGCAGGGAGTCTGTTTCTCCCTCTCCCTCTGTCCTCCCCCCAACTTGTATATGTGCTTTCTCTCAAATAAATAAGATCTTTTTAAAAATTCTAACTACTCTGAATCTCAAACATTCCACCTCTAGGGATTTCTCTTAAAGAAGTTATCAGACACAGACAACTAAGTGAATAAATTATTCACCGGAAGCCAATCTTCATACTGCCTTGTTCTCAGGCAAAATGCCTTCACTCTTCTCCCAGAAGCCAAACAGGCAGTCATTTCAAAATTTAAAACTAAAAGGAAAAAAAAAAATTGAAATGAAGCCTGTGGTTCCTTTGAAGCTGACCTCCAGGGGGCTGTCTTTATTGCTTGAAACCTTTCCCCTCCCTCTTTCCACACTCACAGCAATGGGGCTAGATTTTGCCCATATCACGCCTTTATTTTTCTCCCCACAAGAACAAAGGCTCCATGAAGCCAGAGGTATCATCTGGTTCCCTCACAATGCTTAGAACGTGCCTGACATGCTGTGGACCAACAATACTTGTTAAATGAATGCACATGGGCGTGAGCACCCTGTGGAAGCCAGAGGGTGACTGAAGATGACTCACTGCCCCTTGACAACACAAGTGCCATCCGCCCTGGAACTGTGTGGAGTTTGGGGAACTTTTTCCGTAACAGAGATCTAGGGAGGCAGTTCTATAGATCTGTTGAGAGCAGAGACCACATCATTTTCTAGCTGTCTGACCTTCGGCAGGCCATGTCACCTCTCTGAACTTCAGTTTCATCATCTTTAAAAAAAGACAATGACACAGGTTTCAAAAGGTTGATGTGAGAACTGAATCGTGTAATCCATGTAGAGTGCCAAGCACGGTGCCCTGAGCAGAAAAGTCATTCGGTAACTGTTAGTTGTTAGCAGTCTTCATTATTGCTGAGAATTTGAATTTTTTCCTTGAGAGGTGGGGAGGAGGAAAGTGGGGAGAGGAACAGCCAAGAATAGGCCTCGGCACTGTACCCGGGCAGGCAAGGCCAAGTTCTCTGTAGAGGGTTGAGGAGAATGAGGGGATCACTGAAAGTCTGAAGAGGTTTTTAGAGAAGGGCTGAACCCAGGCCAGGGGAGGGCTGGCCCAAGGTGAGCAGTACCACAGGAACGAAGGCAGGCCAGGAGTTCCATGGGGTGGCCAGCAGGGGGCAGGAGCCAAGGCTCAGGGGAGCCAATCAGCGTAGAGCAGCTACAGCCTGGAGGGACTGAGTCAGGCAGATGGGACAACACCCTGCCATCCCAAGATGCTAAATGAAGGTGACAACCATCGAAGACAAAG